TATGTTTTGTGGAAAAAGGCATCGGCATAGATACCGGCAGATGAGTGCCAGGGCTGAGGCTTAATGCTGTATCTTGGCAGTGGTGCTTCCTCTTCAGGGAATATTTTCCTGCATGATGACAAGCAGGGTTTTCTCTCAAGCTGTTTGCCGAGCTGGGGTAGAGTCATGGCGGATCGGACTGCCCTTGGCTTTCTGATTACGTCCTGGGGGGATGGAGAAGATTTGAGCCCCAGAGCTCCTGCGCGGTAACACACCTTTCTGATGCCCCCTGAGTGGGGGTTTGCAAGCTCGGGGACCTGAACCTGTCGTGGCATTTGCCCTTCCCTTTGGACCTGTTCCCCAGAACCAAGCACTCGTTTCTGGGCATTGATCGTTGATAACAACTTTCTAAGCATGCCTGTTTTAGGGCGATCTTGTGAGACATCAGAAGAAATATCTTCCCTAATGAGATGGGTTTCTAATTGGCCATCTTTTTGTGCCAGTTTGTATTGAAAGTACCTTTGGCCATGGGGAAATCGCTCAGCTTTGAAAGTCTGCCTGGGATGCTCAAGCTGAGCAGCCCTGCACACACTGTCCCAGCGCAAACAGGAGAGATGATTAGCCGGACGAGGAGGTACTGCTGCCGGTTCAGGTTTGGGAAGATTGTCTTCCCAAACCTCTCTACCAAGAGTTGGAGACAGGCCAGGTGCGTGTTGAGAACAAAGTGAGGTTAATTTTCCTCTATTCCCTTTCTTCCCACATCCTGGTGAGCTGCTGGGTGTTATCTTTCTGCCTGTGCAGACACACTTTTTGGCACTGCCCTCCTTGTCTCTCATATCTCTCTCGGTTATTTTTCTCTCTTCATATTCCATTATGGCTGGATAGAGGATATCTGTTACCTCATCCATAAACCATGTCATTATATTTGTAACTGCATTGGTCATTTCTTTGGTCTTGTTTTTCTGTAGCAGGAACAAATGAGAAAGGGCAGTAAAGGGTTAATTAATTCCTTCATTCTCCCTTCTGCCCAGGACAACAGCGATCTCCTGGGTGCAATACAGACTTTTAGGATAAATAATAATAGCCCCCCATGAAAAGCGACCTCAATTCATAGATGCTTGGGTCGGAAGGGACCTCATTCAATCACCGAGTCCAACCCCCTGCCCATGCAGCAAAGAGCGTTGGGATCGGGGTGGGAAAAAATCTAACAGAATAAATAAAGGAAATAAAGAAAGAGCCAGTTCAGGAAAGATCAGTGAAGGACCAGCTATGGTCAGCATTGCTTCTCTCCGAGCTTGTTTCTGAAGGGCCGACATGAAGACCATGGAAGAAAACGCTGACCATCTTGAAGGCCAGCTAGGGGAGGTTTGTCACTGAATTCAGCGGGGCCAGGGTTCCCCCACAGGAGCCAAGAGATGACTTAATTTTCACCTACACCCCCTCCGCCGAGAAAGCACTTATCAGCTAGCTCGCTTCTCCTTATGGAAAAAGTATCAATTAATTTGCAGATGTTTAATTCATCTCCTACCAAAACTCTAAGGCTGTGCTCTGCCTGGGCAGTGCCGCCCCCTGCTCTTCCTCACAATGAGGCATCTAAACACTGTCTGCTGTGCAGCTTTTATGTTTTTCAAGGACGGTGCAGGCTTATGTTAATGAGTACCCTCGCTCCAGTGAAGGAGAAACATAGTTTTGCCCCCATTTTGCATTTAGCAGCTTTGACCCAGTTCCACTATCTACTATTCTGTGGCCAGTGGGCTGTAGTGCCTTCGGTAGTTTGGTCACACTGTTGTTTCACTTGGTGTTAAGCAGAGGGTATCTGTCACACAACCCATCCCAACACCGCACATCTTCTAGCATTATATCCTGCTCATTTGTTTCTGAAAAGAGCGTGGAAGATTGTGGGGAATGATGCCATTTGGGCGGGCGAGTCCTGCACAACAATACATGTCATGGCAGGTGCAGGTCGTCTTCCAGTTCTGACATCTCCCCATGCCCTGACTTCTTACCTGGGAGGAGGATCTTTTCTTGTTTGTGCCTTTATTAGCAATTGTCACAAATCTAGGCTGCTGGTTACCTGACATGAAAAGCAGTAAAGTCTAGGACAGTCCGAACTGTTGAGTGTAAACTGCTTGCAGGTCTGGGAATTTGTGTCGCAGGCTCTGCTATAAAAGCCCAACTCTGGGGGTGAGTAAGGGTAAAAGCTTGGCCGTACTGAATTAAATGGGAGTTTGGACAGTGACTTTGGTGTAGCCAGAGTTTTGCCCGAGGTACATAACCATTTTACTGGAAAGACAGTGAAAAGACAGATGCAACAGTGGAGACAATATCAGGAGATCAGGACCTTGGAGCATTGTAGCACTCTGCTCATCAAATTTAAAAGCCACCAGGGCCCAGTTGGCTCTGTGTTCGACCCTGGTCCTGCAAACATTGATGCACCGTGCTAGAAGCAAGCATGGAGCAGTCCTGTTGAGCTCCCCAGGATCACAGACATGCTTGAAATAAGACACTTGCATATTGTTAGATTGGGGCTGCAGTCATCAACTTC